GTGCTCGGTCGACGGGATCGCAGAAGTCAATGATGCAAGTGTGGCATCGCAGCTGCGTCACAACTTTCCTCATCTCATCTTTTCTTAGAAAAGTCGTGAAGGCGTCGTAAGCAAATGGTGCGAGGGTTGTCACTTGCTTGGTTTCCTTCCATTTGATGGTGGTGCATTCTCCCAGTGCTTGCGGCCCCTCTTCTGTCTTGCCACGTTCGCCTTTGAGCACGGACAACACAACCCGCTTCCGTTCAGTAGGAAACTTCTCGTGATTAACCAACTTCATCGTTGCCGCCACGTCCTTATCACTCGGACAGCTGAGATATTGGGGGCATACTTTGAGGTATGAGTGATCTGTGACCCATTTCCTGCAACCCGCCCACAATTTATCGTCCAGTCCCTTGGAGGCGTACTCTGCCATCAATTGCTCCTTCGTCCGGAAAAAGGAGGCACTCCAATCATCGTTGCGCGGCCCTCGTGCTGGAATTGCACAATATGTCACAGCCGGAGCAACATCCGATCTTGCTTGACCATTTCACAAGCATCTTTCATCCCAACCTTTCCCTGCTCAATCAGCTTCTTGCTTCCTTGCTGCACCCAGACAATATCCAGGTCCAGCAACCCTCGCAGGATCCGACGTTTCTCCGCGTCTGTAAAATCCCCCAAGTCTTTCCAACAATGCACGTCGGGTTCATTCACCTGGACGAAAAAGTCGCGCTCCTCCTGTTTCCTTTTCTTCTTGCCTTTCCGCGTCTCCGGATCAGTCACACGCACATTATGCACAACTCTCTTATGGCCACTGCTGTCCTCCGCAAATGACTGACCCTCACGGGTGACTTTCGGGTCCGTTGTTGGAGGCCTCTCCATCCACACAGCGCCATCAGGGGCGAGCAGATGGCCCTTCTGCGACTCGTCGTAGAATTTCATGCCAAGCATCCACGTTTCATCGTCCGTCATCACCAGAGGTAAGTAGTACCTCAGTCTCTCCGTCCATTCCTTTTTCTTCGATTTCTCATCAGCCAACCCCCAAAGGTTGAAGTAAGGCATTTTCCTCAAGGCGGCTTTCTGAAACTCTTCATATTTACTGACTAAATCCTTCTTGAACTTTATATTGTCGGTGACAGCACGAGGACGCTTCAAGTTATTCCACTCCTGACGAATATCTATCATTGACAGCCGCTGAGCTCGAGGAGGGGCTAACTTGTCCTTCCTATTCTCGTTCACGCTTATCTGCGTATAACCGGCGCAGCCTTGAAATTGTGTTGCCCGCTGACAGCGTAGTACCAGTGTTCGTTCGGGTTCTCCACATTGAATTTGTCCGGGGTCAGACGAACAGCCTTGACATTGTGTTGCCCTCGGTAGACCCTGTATGCTGGTTGGACGATTGTTATTGGAAAGTTCCAAGAAAGGGACAAGATGCAGAGGCAACAGCGGGGACAATGGATGATTTATGGCCTCGAGTAATGAAGATATGGAGATCTCTGCCCCTCCCACAACGCCCGGCCCCCGAAAGATGGGAAGACGGTGTAAGGCAACCTCTTTTTGGGAACTACTGGATTACTAACTCCCGGAGTCATTTTTTTTGCAGCTCAGACCCCCCGTGGAAGGGCTGGGTAAAAAGGGGGGTAATGAAGGTAGGGGATCTTTCAATTGGGATGAGGAGCGCAACGATTGGAAAAACCCCGGTCAAATGAAGGAAAAACTACAATACTGCCACAACCTTGAAGAATCACTCGGTGTGATTGTAGAGGCCTTTCCTCCTAGCCTGACGCTCCATCCTACGTAGAGGCCCGAAATTTCAGGAAGGGGACTGGGTAACGCGAGAAGGGGACCCCCACCACGTGGGGCAAGTTCATATTGAACAGCCAGGGGATGTGCTAGTGGAATGGTGTAGTGTGGGGAGAAATGAGGAACTGACAGGCAGTTGGGCGCCTCTTGAATGGACTGAGAAGGGGACCCTCTACAGGATCAGGACCCTAGGGGAGAGACGAACATAGGGCATA